GTGTCTCCTAAGGCTGAAGTCAAGTTGTCAGCCAACTGGAGAGCTTACCTAGAGCTTCGGGAGAAGAATCTGCTTTCAAGCCTGTTCACATTGTTAGTAGAATTTGGTTCCTAGCAGATGTAGGGCTGATGTTCCTGCTTCCTTACTAACTGTCAGCCAGGAACCCCTCTCAGCTCCTTGAGGTCCCTCTCCGTCCTGCATACATAGCCCCCTACTTCTCATGGCTGGCAACAACACATCAAGTCCTTCTCACACTTTGAACCTCAGTGCTTCTGCTGCCGCATCTCTTCTGCTTCCAGCCAGAGAAAGCGATCTGTTTCTGAGGGCTTATGTGATTAGGTTGTGCCCAACCAGATAATCCAGGATGATCTCTCTATTTTAAGATCTGTAACCTTAAATACATCTGTAGAGTTCCTTTTGTCATGTTACATAATATAGTCACAGATTCCAGTATAAGACATCTTGGAGAAACCATTCTGTCTACCACAATTTCTAAAGGAAAACCCAATTTCTTATAGCAACAGATAAATCTAGCCAGTCCCTGGCCCCTCATGTTGGAATGGAAACATTTACACTTTTGTATTTTTTGATAAGAACAGTGATTAGTAATGTAACAAAATTTTCTGAGTGCCTACAATGTGGCCAACACTGTCTAGGCCGTGGGAATTCAAACATGATTAAGAAACAAAGTCCACTCTCAAGATACTCACAATCTAGCAAAGGAGACAGAAAAATAAACATAAGATATGTTGAAAAGGTACCTGAAGATAAACTCAAAATTTTTTTTAAAGCACAGTAGTATGGACCAATCTGGCCTTGGGCACGGGGCAAGTGTCTTAAAGGAGATAACACTGAATTGAATGTTCAAGGATAATCGGGAAGAACTAAGGGGTTTGGGAAGAGGGAGAAGAAGGAAAAAGGCAGAAAAATATAAATATTTACATATATATAAACACATATATTTTAAAATACAAAATATACAACTGAAAGCAGCAATTCTTCTCTTAAACGTTGTAGGATTTTCTGGACAGGACAAGTTCCTAGAGAATGGTATGAATATTAAAGAAAAGTGTAACTTCTCTAATAATTTGACAGCATATTGTATTCACACATGCTTCGAACGTTTTCTAGATACTTGCATACATGACATGTTATATTTCATCAGTCCTGTGAGATTAGAACAGCAGATATTGTTATTTCCATTTTATGGATGTGAAATATAGAGTTCAGAGGAATTAGGGGTTTTATCGGAGATGACCCACTTGTCACCTGATGGGACTCAGCCAAAAACCAGGCCTTCCAGACTCAGAAAGTCCAGTACTTACTTCATTGCAGTGTGAAAGTTCTGTCCAAATTTATTAAGCTCTTTGCTTCATTTTTAAATGCATGTGATATAATTATGGATTTATGAAATCCCAGAAAAGAGACCAATTGATTCTTACTTTTTGCCTTTGAGCTTATTGCACAAAGAGGAAGCAAAATTATATTCTCACTCAGACATTATTGCTTTGTTGATTTTCATGTTTCCCAAAATGAATAATTTTTGTTGTTTTAACACCCCATCATTAAAGAAAGAGAAGATCTGATCTGTGGAAGCATCGTGATTGTCGCAGGGAAGCCTCCTAGAGGAACATGCGGGCTATTGATATTCTCTCCTCAAGCCGGAAGCTGTCTCTAGAGATCCATGAGAAACACGGAATCACAACAAAGACTGGAAAACAAATTGATAGAATCAGAGATGGCTGCAGACCCGTGAATAGCTTTTCACGCTGTCGCTGTTTCAGTTTAGATTCAGACTTAAGTTTTGCAAATTGATGGGGGAAAAAAATCTAGTTTTATCTCAGCATTTTACTTTCCAGTTAAAGACCAAAGTGTAGGCTTCTACATTCAAAATGGTTCCTTTTTGTTGCTTTGTTAAAGAAAATCACAAAGCGCCTTTAAATTTTTCCCCCTAAAGAGGCCCATATATTACATTGCAATATTGGGAGCAAGCTCAAAAAAGAATATGACTTTCTTTGTACAGAGGTTTTAATATTTTCATAAAGATCCTCTCTTCAACTCCTCAAGCATTTGCCTTTCATTTTGTTTTATTGAATTAGGCTGCAAAGCACTCGAGCGTGAAGCTCTTTGTCATCTCTAACCAGGCTTACATTGATTCCACGTATCCGTGTGCCTAGTCGGGGTTTATTAATCTATACATCTATTCCACTGAAAAAGAGAACTCTCTAACTTATTATGTAAAAGGATAAACCACCTCCACAGCCCATTTGCATGCAGGTATGCTTAAAAGTAGATTTGTTTCCTCAGACTGAGAGCTGGCTTCTTTAACAGCATTAAACCAAGGGAAAAATGAAATTATATTATGATTTCTCATGGTGGATTATAGTACAACCATGACAAAAGCAGGCCAATAATTCCTTTTCTATTTCCTTAAATATAAACACATTTTAATATCAAGAGCTCCAGACAAGTATAAGCAAGACTCTGCACACACATGCCCTCAAAAATGCAAATCACACCGTTAATTCACCACCTGCTACTCATTCAGGTCAGAGTGCCCACAGCCAAAGCAGAGGATTTGCTGAGGTGGCCAATGGCTTTATCCAAGTGGCCAAACAACTTGTTTTCCTCCTAAATATTACTCCTCCCAAACACTGAAGAGAGAAATGTATAAAATGGGCAGCAAAATAAGCAAGAATTTCAGAGTCAGAAGACCGTGGCTGTTGTTTATAACAGGTTGTCAGCTTAACTTCTCTTCAATGTTTTTGCACTTGAAGCAGGATAACTAAATAATATGTGCTGATAGCCCTTCCCTTAGTCAAAGAAAGTTTTTAGGTATTTCTTAAGCTTCTCCTTCACCTGATTTTGATTCAGAGGCAACTTCTCTACTACAAAGGACAGGTATCTGGCTCACCCATTCTATAGATATGTGTTTAAATGAACTTAATGTTTGTGATTCCCAAAAATTCATATGTTGTAATCCTGACCCCCAGTGTGAAGGCATCAGAGATGGGGCCTGTGGAGGTCACTTGGTCATGAGGGTGGAGCCCTCATAAATAGGATGAGTGCACTTACAAAAGTGATTCCAGAGAGCCAGCTTGTCATCTTTCCATCATGTGAGACTATAATGAGAAGACAGCCCTCTCTGAACCAGGAAGTAGCCCTCAGCAGACACCAAATCTTCCAGCACCTAGACCTTGAACTTCCCAACTCCAAGAACTGTGAGAAATAAAGGTCTGTTGTTTAAGCCACCCAGTCTATGATGACTTGTTACAGCAGCCTGAACTGATGAAGACATTTATTGAATGCCTCCTCTGTGCCAGGTCCTAGTCTGGGTGCTCAGAGTACGGTGATGAGCAAGCCAGATGAGATCCCTGTTGCCATGGAAGATGGACTGCAAACACATGAATGACTTAGAAAACTTTAACACAGTAAATTCTATGAAGAAAATTCACCATCACAAGGTGAAGACAATGACTGACGGAGCAACATTACATGGGGTAGTCAGCAAAAAATCTAAGCTGAGATCTGAATGAAACAAGTCAATCAAAGAGGGGAAGTTGTCTAGGCAAGACAACAGCAACAGCCTCAATGGTGTCTTCACTGCTTGCATATGTTGTGTATATGAACTTTCTTTTGCGCCTCCTTCCCTGCATAACACATTTCTCAGATTTTTCTGAATGTGTACATTGGGATTCCACCTCTCCATGGACTCTTCATCTCTAACTCTTCCTTCATCCTTCCCACCAGGAGGAAATGCCTTTCCACAAAGACTATTTTGAACCCTTTTCTTATCCTATTATCAGTCCTTCTCTAGGTTGTTTTAATCTAACTTTGAAGAATATATTGGTTAAAATCAAGAATTTTATTATTACTTGAATTTTTTTTTTAAAAAAAGCAAGCTTCAGTAACAACTACGTATTCCTGTCCCACAGTCCCGAACTGGATAACTTGATTTTTTTGCCCTTTACCCACAGCATGTGTAAATGAGGGATTGCTTCACCTACCCTATGTAGCTACCATTTCTCCACCTCAAAGATACAAAACTGTGGGCCTCTAATCATAGAAAATCTTGTGAATCAGTCTTCTCACACTGCTATAAAGAACTGCCTGAGACTGGGTAATTTAGAAAGGAAAGAGGTTCAATTGACTTATAGTTTTGCATGGCTGGGGAGGCCTCAGGAAACTTACAATCATGGCAGAAGGCAAAGGGGAAGCAAGGCATCTTCTTCACAAGGCCGCAGGAAGGAGAATGAACTCGAGGAACTCCCAAGCACATAAAACCATCAGATCTCATGAGAATTCACTCACTATCATGAGAACGGCATGGGAGAAACTGCCCCCATGATTCAATTACTTTCACCTGGTCTCTCCCTTCATATGTGGGGATTATGGGTATTACGTATGGGGACTACAATTCAAGATGAGATTTTGGGTGGTGACACAGTCAAACTATATCACCTTGTTTACATTTTACACATAATTAAAATTTTTCTGCTTTTTGCAAATGTGTTCCATCTCTCAGTTTGATTTATTTAATTGGCCCCATATCTTAAAGGGGCTCTGTTCAACATTTGGTATTTGATAGATCCCATGGGTCTTTGTTGCCGACAATGATGCTGCCAGCTCCAAGGCTTTTTATAGACAGATGCATATGTGTCCCTAATTGCTTTTCTTCTTAATGGGAATTCGATGAGAAAAGTTCTTAGATATTCTAAAACATTAATCATAAAATAAGTCCCTGTCCCAGAATTGTGCTCAAAACCTTAAGTCATTTTAAGATGTGTCAGCTGGGGTGTGAGTTTTGTCCATCCTTATATTTGTTGAATATAAAAATCAATAACACCACTACTCTGCACATTTATCTAATGTAATAATCAATATCAATACCTTTCCTGATATTTACTTAATATAATAATCAATAACAATACTGTTTGTTTATTTGATGCCATTGACCAGGGTAGAAGACCAAATGTATGTGCCTTATCTACCCTATTTACCTTCACACTGGGCCATCCACTGCTAACATCTCTTCTTTGTCCTGCTTCCCACTCTCCAGACCTGAGCAGAACATCATCCTACTTCTCTTTGCTCTGGAAGGTGACAGTCAGTACATTGACATTTTGGAGGAGGCAGCCAGCACTGATGGAACCTCTGTCTACATTATTCTAGGTACTGTGAAGGAAACAAATATAATATAATTCACCTCTATATTTGTTAAAGTAACACTAGCTACTACCCTGAGAAGCCCTAAGACCCTGGAGGCTTAATACGTGGTAAGTTGGTAAGTTGGTTGCTTATCCTCTAACAGCATAATGTAGTTATTCCTTGTTGGTGGAATATTTTCCTATAATACTTCAGAGACCTAAGCCCCTTCCATCGCAGATTTGCCCTCCCCTAAATCCCTCAATCCTCTACATTCAGCCAGTATATAGGAAAAGAACATAGAGGACCATGTGTAGGATATTTTATGTCAGACCTGAAAGTAGTGTTCATCACCTCTGCTTATATTGCTTCAGTTAGAACTCAGCCTCATGGTCACATCTAACTGCAAGGCAAAGCAATCTGAGGACATGGTCTAACTATATGCCCAAAAAGAGGAATGGATTTGAACAGTTAGTCAGTCTCTGCCACTATCCCACCCTTGAGTTGCTTATAATTCAAAGAGGAAGACAAGATGAAGGATTATACATATAATATGTGAGGGATCACTAGAGGCAGAATTAGTCAGTGAAAAGTTTCTAAGGAAAGAATTTTAAAATGGGTAGAATAAGGAGATAAACATAAAGAGTCATCCCATGAAGTAAAACAATGCAGTATGAGCAAAACTAGAGGTAGAAATAGGCACACATCGGCAGGGGAATGTGAAGCAGTCATTTTGACAGGTGCACAGAGTCAATGCCAGGAAGCAGAGAGCAACATATCTGGCTAAGGAGAATAGGATGAAACCACCCCAACTAAGACCACTGACTCCTCCACCTCGAACCTGTGTTTGCCTTGCACTAGAATTCTGCTGGTCCACTCAAAGGTACTTTACTACCTTTTTATAAGTAATCTCTAAATCTCAGCTGACATTTCACGTCTGACTGGAAAATGTAAGCATTACCCAGAGAATGTCCCTCACTAATTTTGAATTTTTCAAAGAACAAATGAAAAGTAATTGGCAGATTAGAAGAAACTGGTATAACCTAAATAACCATTACACTTATGAATCAAACTACAAGTCTTTGTGATACAACAAAGCTAATAAGTCACGGAGAACCACATGCTCCAGTCAAAGATATACATAGGAGTAGATAATTAAATGTCTTGACCAGGGACATGGAGTTACAGCAAAAGCAAAGTAGAAATAAGATGCAATAGTTCTTTCCTTGGTTCAACCTCTAAATACCTAAAGAATTAGGAGGACCACAGCTACAATCCAATCCACCCAACAAATTCAGAAGTTCCTAAAGATTAATTCAAATGTGGTCGCAAGGAAAGCCCTTATAGGTGTGTATTTCTGAACCTACTTATAAGGACTCTTTTTGCCATGGGAACATATCTCTCTCCCACCTGTACTGATGTTCCAATGTGCTCAAATACTCACCTTATTGAAATGAGAACTACATCAACTCCAATATATTTTGTATACAAATTAGGACTGTCCTGTCCCCTTGTAGAAATTTTAGGATAAATCCCTTTTGGTGATTTTGAATAATTTTGAAAATCCAAAGAAAGCTATGGCTCCTGTCACTCCCTTAATCCCCTAGATAAATTCACATACGCATATAAAAGGTATTTCAATTATATGTAAGGGAAGCATTCCTGAGAACCTCTTATAACTTAAAATCCCTATTTTTCAGCACCAATTTCCCTTAGGAACACCATAGACTCCTATGAGGCAGCACAACACTCTACAAAGACTATTTGCTTCCTATAACAACTCAAATTTCCCAATTTTGCAATTAAGGAAAATAATGCATAGAGAATTTAAGCAACTTCTTACCATCACCCACCTCGAACTGACAGAGTAGACCTGGAAGTCATGCTGTCTATGTCTAAAGACCTTGGAAATACATATAACCAAAGTGAGACGCTGCCCCCACTCCCATCCCTCTTCTAGTAATATATCCTTTCTACCAAAAAAGAAAAAAGGAAAAGGAAAAGGAAAAGAACCTATTCTATCTTACTTCCAAAAACTTCAGAGTGGGATCAAATACTGTGCCTCCTCTCTCCCAAACTCAATCCAGGCTACTTATTTTTATTCTTGTGCTATTTAATTATTAAACTAACAATCTGGATATCCCATTGTTTCTTCATTTTTAACCTCCTTGAATTTCAGGTCTTACATTCAAGACAAAGCCCTCCTGGACCTAGTATTGTTTTACACTCTCCAAACACTGTCACAGGAACAGCAGCATTCTTCTCTTAATTTGTTGCAACTCTGGAGTCCCTAAGGTTTGCTGTCAGACATCTCACTGATTGGAGAAAGAAAGACTATAATCAAAGCTCTTTCTGTCCAAGTTAATAAAGATCTTCTTTCGTTTTTAATTTAAATTTCCTCTTCTTGGTATTATATGAGGCAAAAGCTCAGGGTCATATCAAATTAAATTGAGAAACTTAAATGTTTTGATTGATTTTAGTCTATTTTCTGAAATCTTAAGCAATCCAATATCCCACACTTGATTAGGTCAACTGTCATGTAATTCAAAATAAACCTAAACATTATTTAACACATTTTAAATTTAATCCAGATGCAGAGGTGTTAAAAGATATGTTTATCAAGAGTTCCTTTCCCCCACCTCTTAAGAGAGGCACTGTGGCTGATCAGTACCTTTATATATTATTCCAGACTGCATATTTAGCTCCAACCACAAGAGGAGGTTTGAGATGATTTTCCCCCACCATTATTTCTGTCAGCACTTCTCAATATACTCCAAATAAACACATATTCTAAGTAAAAACACTGTTATTACTGTTAACCACAATTTAAAGACCATATCATATTTCCATCAGCCTATCTCCAAGCTCTTCCAAATAAACATGCAAATAAAGTAAAAGTACTATGTTTGCTATACAAATTGCAGTTACAACTTTAAGACAGATTCTTTAACAGGCTCTACCCTCCTTCCAGATAGAAATTTTAAAGTTCTCATTAGTGCCAAACACTCTCAATAGCAACTCTATGGCTTACTTTCACATTTTTCTTAACTAAAAGTATTGAATGTGTGACCTGAATTAACACTACTTAAGTGGCATGAGAATGTTTGTAGCCAAGAAACTAACATTACAACAGATTCAGAGCCATGGGAAAACACAGAGCCCTAGGAAGGACTTAGGCAACAGTCCCTAATAGAGGTGCCTCTTCAACTCCAGGCACAAACAAGGCTTCCCAAGGAGACAAAGCCAACTGATGATGAGCTCATAATCCAAAATTGTAAAACACACAGGGAAACCCAAAGCCCTGAGAAAGCAAGCGTGATAAAGGGGGAATTTATAGCTGGGAAAAATTAAGATAATTGAACAATCTAAAATGAAATCTTGAAAATAAGTACATTAATAATGTCCCACAAGATAAAGAAAGAAAAAGTATTAATAAGACAAGACCAAGGTGCTTTGGAAAAAGAACAGGCAGACTCGAGAAAGAAAAATCTAAACAAAACAAAATTTTTAGAAATGAAGACTGCTATGTCTCCGCAAAATCCAATGTTGAAATCCCAACCTCCAAGGTGATAGTATTAGTGGGTAGAGCATTTGGGAAGTGATTAGGTCATGAGGGCTCTGCCCCCATGAATGGGATTATTTCCTTATAAAACAGATCTGAGAAAGCTCCCTTGCCCCTTCGGCCATGTGGGGACACAGCAAAAAGGTAGCAGTCTTTGAACTAGGCATTGAGTCCTCACCAGTCACTAAATCTGCCTCCTTCTTGATCTTAGACATCTCAGTCTCCAGAAGTGTAAGAAATAAATTTCTGTTGTTTAGAAACCACCCAGTTTATGATATTGTCTTATAGCAGCTCAATCAGATTAAGACAAAAACCGTAGTCATTCAAATAATCTATTGATGAGTTAAACTATACACTAGACATAACAGAAAAGGAAATTAGTGATCCGGAAGGTAAAGAGATAAGGCAATCACCAAAAATTTGGGGAAGAAAATAGTTAAGAAACAGAAAGGATAGAATAAGAAGCTTTAGTATACATATAATAGGGTTTTGTAAAGAGAGATAATGTCTTTAGAAAGAGACAATATTCAAAGGGATGACAATGAAATGTTTCCTGAAATGAATAAAGGCATAAATCATTAGATTTTAAAGGGCATAGTGAGTTCTTAGCAGAACTTTTTAAAAAAAATATGCATCATAGTGAAACGGTAGAGAAACAAAAGTAAAGACAATTTTTAAAACTACCTGGGAGAAATGACTGTTTACCTACAAATAAACTACAATCAGACCAACAGCACACTTGTAATCAGCAGAAACACCTGTCAGGAGACAAAGCAAAATTATTTTAAATGTGCTCAGTAAAATAACTGTCAACCTAGAATTCTCTACCCTGTGAAACTAATACTCAAAAGGTGAGAGTAAAAAAAAAAAAAAAAAAAGACATTTTTAGGCATATAAAGAATAAGGAAATTTGTGATTTATAGACAAGTCCCCTGCCCTACCACACTATGAAAGAATCACAAAAAACTGAATTTGAGCAAAAAGCAAAAAAGCAACAATGGAGTGGGATACAAGAAGCAACTGTGGGAAAAAAATCTATTTTTATTTGCAAATCTGAATAAATAGAGGCTCCATAAAATAATAACCACAGTGACTAATTTTGAAAGGTAATCTAATAACACAGTAGAGCTAAAACATGAGAACAATATATAGAAGATGGCATTTTCTTCCAAGAAAAATTACAGCATTCTAAGTTTCTTGCCTTTTTTCAGGAAAACTATCGAGGGGAAATAAGCCAAGTTGGGTTATAGATGGGGAAATGTACTTAAGATTTATTTTTTTCTAAAGCTTCTGACAATAAAATCATACTCTTCTCAAACAAGATTAATATCAATTGCTTGAAGGGCATTTTTCAAATAATATTCTTCCCATTGGAACAGATTAGCATTTTTCAAGAAATTGAAAGAGAATTGCTTATGTCCAGAAATGAAGAAAGTTAATCTGTTTCCTCCTTACCTGTTTGTGAGCCAGTTCCAACAGAATTAATTGTGCTATTCAGTTTCCAAGATTAATATTTATCAGTGACCCAAACTCTAAAATTCTTTATCAAAATAAAATAATCTCAGTATTTTCATGTACTTTACAAATTCAAAACATGTATATATATGTTTCTCCTAAGAATTGCAAGTCCTAAAAGCCCTCAAGAATGGCATCTCTCATATTCATCTAAAAACCTCCTCAGGTGCTCCTTTCACTTTTCGTGGGGGAAAATCTACAGAAATAGTAATTATTGACTATTATTTATGAATTAAATAATTAGTCAGAATCAGCACTGCCCTAACACCAAGGAAGTCTACTCTCACCTGAGAAAAATAGGTGCAACTGTAAAATGATATTCTAGGGGCTTATTGCACTAACTACCACTGCCTTAAAGAATCATTTGTATGTAAACACAAGTTACGAAAAATTTAATTTTGCTTTTTCTTTTGGTGCTTTTGAGAGACTAAGTTGCAACTCACAAAGACAGTTGTTAAGGTCTGAATAAAAAAGGTTTAGATTAAAAATACCATGTTCACATTCAAGAATCATTGTAATCAGTCCATTAAACAGCAGCATTGCCTATATTTTTACTTGCTTCATTACTTAAAACGAGATAGCAGTTATTAGCTATGTTACAGTGGTTAAAGATTTTATTGTTTGTTGATGCTGAAAGTTAGCTTTCTATCAAGTTGTTGAAAATTTATTCTATTCATTTAATATTGATTAACTGATAGATGATAGTTTGAATTGTTTGCTTTTATATCAAGTTTTTTAAAAAGGAAAGTTAGAAATATTCCGATGAGAAGGGTGATTGTATTCATCAAGATAGAATGGGTTATGAACAAGAACAAATAATCTGAACCTCTCAACAACAAGGGTTTTTCTCTTCCTTGTAGAAGCATCAATTGTTGCTTGGCTGTGGATCTGCTGCCCATCAGCTTCACTCTAAGATCTAGAATGATGAAACAACCTTTAACTCAAACAAAACAGGTTTCCATAGCAGGGAGGGAAAAAAGCATACGGCAAACCATGAGATGGCTCTATAAGCTTATGTTGAAAGTGCCACATATCACCTCTGTTCTTATTTTATTGGCCAAAGCAAGTCACATGGGCCAAGCCTAAGCTCAACAGGAAAGAAATGTATCATCCTCCCACAGGGAGGGAATCACAAGGAGAAGCATCAAAATATATGGTGCACAGAACACACCATAGTGAGCATGCCAACATTTTTCACAAAAATTATGAAGGAATCACTGCAATACACCACTTGCTTTCCAGGGCAAAATTTGTCCTGTTTCTTTGTTGAAGAGAAAAAGTGATTATCATTTAACAAAAAAAATTATTCAAATAAGTCAAACTTATTAAGTTGAGACATTAGACAATGTAACAAAGAATGAAAAATGTTATCCTCTACTAAAAAGTAAAATTTTTGGTT